TGACATGAGTACATGTACATGTAGACAAGCATCATGTCCTGCCACAGGCCTGCATTTTGCCCCAATGTGGTGCTGACATGAGTACATGTACATGTAGACAAGCATCATGTCCTGCCACAGGCCTGCGTTTTGCCCCAATGTGGTGCTGACATGAGCACATGTACATGTACTGTACAAAAGAGTCCCATTTTACCTGAAAGTGACTGTTGCATACGGATCACACTGGTTGTGGATGATAGTCAGGCCATTCCCTTCAAGCACTCTGCAAGGAGATTCATATGGATACAACTTGTTTTAAGCATATTTTACAGACAGAAAGCAGCAATAATCAAAGGAAAAACAGACTGGAACATGTATAAAGTTGAAACCAGTAATAGGATAGAATTGGTACATGTAAGCGATTGTCCAACCTTGACATTTCTTTGGCCACATGTATATTACCATGTTCTTTACAATTTTACATACACACCGTGACATCACATTAGGGCATGCTACAGTAATTGTCCTGCATGCTTTCAGGCTAAAGCAATTAACAGTACAAATGTGCATGCTCTGACAGATCTCTTGTTAATGTTGTTTGTTTTGGTAACAGTCATAATGTTAAGTGTCGGGTTCAGAAGAAAATTCTTGGGAAAGTTTCATGTGAAGTTAATTATAAGGAGCGGAACTTCTCCTTAAAAACAGTTACACTTCAAAAGGTTCTGTTTATGAAAGTTCTATCTTTACTTTTTAAAATTCCAATGTCTTTTCTTTTAAACTGCCAAAAGCCAACCGACTACATTCTCTTTAACGATAGAAATATACTTGTTGCTGTTATTTGAATTCTTTTTCATAAAATTTGCTCACACTTTCTAACGCACACATGAATACATGTACATCAATGCAGTTGCTAAAGTGCCTTGCACATTAGTTAGATTTTACATATCGCTTAAAGCAATAAACTGTTTTCTTGAATATCCCTCTCACAACTCTCGATAAGGTTATACTTATATGCAGTTTCATTTAGCATGCATAATACATTTTGTTTAATCATTCACTGAGAGAAGAGGTGCCTTAAATTTCTGACATGTACTTTTCGTTATTGTATGCATTCTGCATAAATAGATGTAATTGAAACTCAAGTGTAATTTTGCATAAAATTCAATTTACATGTTAACCAAAATTTTATGGTGACTGAAATTGTACACATAAAGTATGGTACAAGTACACAGCACATCTGACAATTTGTGTCTTCCTTGTAAAAATGTCAGTAAAGTTTGGCTGATAATATTGCTGAATAAACAGTCATAATTTTCCATCAATCAGTTGGAGTGAGTTTCACATTCACGGCCCTCGATAAACCACGAGTCAATGAACCCATCCAATTCAGTTTCCCATGATTCGGACACATCCTCAGCTTCAATATCGGCCATCCAGGCACGTTGGCGAGGTAACCAGACACCCCCCTACCCACGGAGGGGGTCCCTGCACATCGGAATTCCCCCCACAGCAGTGTCAGCTACCTAAACACTCCAGAAAAGAAAAAAATATATAAAAACCCAACTGTGGAGTAAGTTAAGAGTTTCCTTCACAGCGACCCACTCAAACGATCGACAGCTAGGAGTGAAGCAGACTATAAACACACGTCAATATCACTGATGAAGAGCCTCCTACTCAATGGAAACAGACTGTCTCAAATTTCCTCCTGCCCAGATTAGTGGGAGGGGGGAAGGCAGGCTTTGGCTGCCATCAGCAATGACTTCATCTCGCTGATCTTATGAGTGAGGTCTCAACTGCAGACAACATGGGCCATGTGAGCATTATCTAATGTAGTTTGGACACATCTGTATTCCTCCACGGGTCATTTTGTTTCTGTTCAGCTTTGTCACAATGAGCCAGTTGAGTAATTAAAAAAGGCAAGGACATCTGAGAACAAAGCACACGACACTGGTTGAAATACGCTAAGTGCGAGTTGAGCCTGATGTGAGCACAAAAAGGCAGATTCAGAACGAAATGTTTGGGAGGCCAAACTTTAAATGTTTCAGGTTACGGGCCAAATATTTTGGTCAATTCTTTAAGTAACCTTCCATGGCCTTTTTGAGTAGTGAGGCAACATCTTGGTGCTTTTTTTTGCATGCTTCTGGAAGAAAAGGGACTAAAACGGGTTTCCCAAAAATCCTCTCATTACTCTAAAGAAAAAAAAAGATGGGAACTCTGTTTTTTTCTGGAGGGGGAATTGTTCCTTAGCCCTTAGCTGCTGACAGCCTGGCTGTTATATAGATGCTTTTGCAGGGAAATTTTAAATTAAAACGGGTTACATATTTTTGGGGAGGGGGCTGTTGCTGAAATGTAAAGCGAAAAACTCTTACAGCATTGCTACGGAATGCCCAAAAGGTCTTGGGATTTATGCTAGCATGCAATCGAAAATTGGCTCGTGTGATGGCTTCTTCGAGCCCCTCTCAATAACTGTCAAATAAGATCATAACCAATCAGGCTTGTGCAAGCAGGTTCCCAGAGACACAAACAAATCAAACAAATTAAGATGTAAACTCATGCAGATGAGGTTTTGTGTGGGTGTTGGAGAGGTGTGTAAGGAGAGGACAGCTAGGTGTGCCTCCTTGGCCATTCTGCAAATTGAACACGAGATACGTTCTCGCTGGGGAGACGCCTGTAACTTGAAACGCGGGGACAGCCCACAAGGGAATGACCACAGGATGAGCCTGGGGAAATGAGACTTGGACTTCAACCTTATACAAGCATCAGTGTGAATTTTGAATCTTCAATTCCTGATTCTTCCAATCCAGGCTTTTTTTTTTTACTTTGAGAAGATTCCTACTGAGTACAATGCAACTTATGCATGAACATGTACAGGTACATGTACGTCCTCCAGTAAACCACAATTTCAATGCAAAGGCATTTCTGGCAGAAAGAACTCTTCAGATATTGTGACACTGTCACTCAAATGTTTCACCCCCACATTAGACTTTTGGAGTCCAAACCTGGACCAGGATTGAAGCTTCCGTTTTTTTCCCCCTCCATCCTACTGAGAGTACTACATTTGAATGTACTCATTCAAAAAACCGTAATTTTCAGAATATAAGTTCTGGCTTATATGCTGATTCTCACGCAGCAAAATGTCTCTGTGGCTTATGCTGGGTGGCTTATATGGCAAACTTTGGTGGATAAAACTAGTCACAAAAGCTGCGGCCGGGCCACGCGAACCACGTGCAGGTGGCGCAGTGATGCTTTCGATGGCTGGCATTTACATCTGAAAACTCAAACCTCGGAGAATACATGTAAATAAAAATTTGATTTGTCCGCATTTTAACAGAATTTCAAAGTCATGGAGTCACAAAACACATACATGAAAAGTGTACGTAATTTTAAACTCTACTTGCTCTGCTGTAACAACTGTTTTTAGTGATTAGTTTCCCACTTTTTATTCATTCTCATGGTGTATTTTTGCAGACAAATAAACATTTTACTAAGATTTTATCTACTGCTGTTAAGATTTCTTCCTACTGTTAAAAATAAACATCAACCGCTTCACTGGTGTACCTTCCTGTGGCAGATCTTTCATCTTTTTTGCTGATCAAGTTCAGAGTGACATGACGCGGAATTTCAGGTTTTTTCACTTGGTTTTTCTGATGACAACAGTATACTGTAAAATGCTGCTGCAGAAGCATAGTTTGATTTTTTTCAAAATCAGCACATGTTCATGTCACTATGGTCTCTATAAGGGCCACAAGTTTACTATTTTTTTTTCAGCTCACTATTCTCTAGGCAAATATTTAGGATTATCATCAAACAGATGGCTTTTCTTTTTTTGTATTAGTATTAGTATATATTTAGCATTGTTTGCCGAGATATTTTTGCATCTAGACTAAAGTGCATGCATATGTGTCCATCTCACATTCTTGAAAAAAAAAAAAAGAGCATGCTAATTTAAGTTTTAGAAGTTTTTACCAATCCTCTTGTGCCTTCAGACAGAAAGTGATTTTGATGTTTGATATCTTTTTACCTGACTGAAAAAGGTAACAAAATAGCTAACAAACTGACTGGTTTTATAATCAATACTTGTGGAGCAAAGAGCGAACAATCATACTCCATGCCCAAATGATGCCTCCAGAGCTGTGATCATCCAGGGTGACTCACCTTACGGTCAGCTTGCTTACTGACGTTCCGTCCCCTCCCAACCCCTCGTTCGTCCGCACTTCCACGTGAACCTGACCCTAAAGTTAACAAAACGGAACCAAACCACAACAGGGAAAGAAACTGAAAGCCAAGATGGAATACACATGTCATTGGTATATATTGGTATTAGCAACTGATGTAATGACACAGGTGATGTGGTTGTCATGGAAACCTCATCACTCCTAAATCTCCGATCCCAACCTGAGAAACTGATGCACGCTTCAGTTCAACAGCTTCCATGAGGAGGCAGTGATATAATTCAATTGCTGACAGTAGGTAAACACTTTGTGTTTGCACTGGCAGCCGGCATTTGTGTACACTTTCATTAAACACCCGGATGCTGTCAAAATACGGCTTATTACATGTTCTTCACTGTTGTTCCTGTAGATGTACATTGTACATGTAACTCTATCCACAGGAACTCAAATCTCACACAAGGTGACTTGTTTATATACGAAGGTATGAACAGTTTGTCTTGTTTAATTTGGTTGGTTTGATTACAGAATATTGATCAAGGACACAGAATGACAAGACAAAAACAACCGATTTTAAGCCAAAATGAGGGTCATTTTCATAGACAAACATATCTGGGCGATTGAAACAGTTCTGCTTTGCAACAATGGCTTTGTGCTTTTGCAAAAAAAAAAAAGAAAAAGAAATTCCAAACTTCCGGTGCCCTCTGGTTATTAATAAATCTAACCAATAACCATTGTACCTGTTGAATGCAAGGTTGGCTGAACTAAATTAAAGGCTCCATCAAACCATGAAGAGCACATATTGATTTCGTACCTAAAATTTAACCAGATAGTGTAATGATTAATGTATTAATATCTATACGGGGAGGGTACATGTGTACAAAAACGCATCATGCTGTCACTCTCTTTGTGTTTGAAGGTGTGTATGTAAGTGCTGTAATCTCAGCAATTCATTACACGTGTTCAACAGGTCTGTATATCTGCATGTAGGTATGTACATGTACGTGAATATACATTGTATATGCATGTACATATATGTACATACGTACACATACATGTACATGTATGTATTTAACAATGCAATATCTAGAATTTTCTTAGCCAAATTTTCTTTAAAATACATTTTTATCTTTCAAAAGTACTAAAACAAGCTCCCATATTCGGCTGTGTACAATGTACATGTACTTATGTTTAAGTCACATCACATTCAGATACAAATTACTGTATGTTAAAACTACAGGCTATTGTTCAAAATTACATGCACATACTGACCCGCTTAATTGGTCAAAATCTGATGCATTGAGCACATCTTTTGTTCCATTTTCAGGTGTTTCCCACTCTGTGAATAAATTTATCTACTCAGCAATGCATTATACCTGCGACGGGCGCAATGAAAGCACAATATCCCAATGTGGACCTTGTCCAGTCTCGTAATTGCAGGATACATGTACACCTACATATAAGTACGACACATTCACATTTGTGTATCTTCTCCACCTAACTCAAAGTACCGGTGCTTCCTATAAAAAAAATTTAATTCCAACTAAAAAGAGAGAGTTTGCAAAGCCATAGATGCCACGCTTGTTTTGCACCATATATGTACACACAGAAATCACTTTTGGGGTTGTTCAGCCTTATTAGGCTTGTACATTACCGAGTGAAGTGTCAAATTAATATGCAACAGAGGAAACAACTGTTCAATTATATGTACATGTGTACCTTCACAGATCTGATCTGTGCAGGGCATGTCCTTTCTCATAACCATGTTAGATTGTTTGACACTTAGACACTACACACCTGCTACTGAGGTGTCCACTGCAGGCACTAATTAAAGCAAAATCGAATCACTGGCAGTATCCAGCAATTCTTCATTTCTTTACTCCTCCCCTCCCCTAACGAGAATACACTCGTGAATTACACTTGAGGCAAATGAGGAAGTGCAGCAGCTCTGAGACACTACCAACCTTGTTGACAAGACATGTGGTAATTGATGGACACTGACACGGCAACGACACAAACTCAAGATTTCAACGGGAATTCTAAATAGTGTGCATTATTTTTTAAAGCTTCATTTTATTTATTAATTTTTTTCGGGGAGGCAACGGATAAATGTTTGGACTTTCACTCTTCAATTTTTTTATTGTCGGGATGCAGTGGGTGCACAAGCAAAAATGGCTGGTACTCCAATTCCATTTTCACAGCGGTAAAACTTAAAAAAAAAGCTTCAAATGTACATGTACGTACTAGTATGTGAGAGTGTACAAAAATTTCCTTTCTGAATTATTGAAGACAACAAATTTCAACAAAAATGTGCCTTCCCAATCCCCACAAAGAAATGAATAATTTTTTGGAAACTGGCATTGCTGTGGGTTTTGTTACAAGAACAAGTCTCTTCACAACAATTAAATCCCTTACAGGACATCCCTACTTTCTCGTACATGTATATTTAAAGGCACAAATACCTCCTATGAGCAGAGCACAATTCAAGTTTGAGGAATTGTATTTAAATGATGATGAGGATGAGAGAAGATGAAATGAAGACGAGAGGACTTAATACCTGCATAAAAACTGGTCATATACATGTAATTGTATCCCATGAGTCACCAAACAGGAGCTCTATACTAACAATGTTGATTCCAACATTTGCAGGGGTGCAATCGGTGACAACAGTCTGGAAGTGTTGTTTCTATCATTTTAAATGTAAAATTCAGCATTTTAGAAGTTAAGTTCAACGTTTACACCATTGCTTGATTTAACGTTAACAATTCTGATTCGACAATTTCAAGGAAAAAATTTGAAAAACAAAAATCTTAAAACACTGGATTTAACATTTAAATTGCCTGATTCGACATTTCCAAAGTATTGTCATTGACTGAACCAATGCAAATGTTGGATTGGACACTGCAGTACCTGTACATGTATTCTGTGCAGATCACTTACATAAACTTCGGAGTCAGTGTCAACCGCTTGAAGGGGGAACCAGTGGTCCTTGCCATGGTAACGGTGCAGGTCGTCCCTCCGCAGTGCCACCTTCCCGACGACGCTGTCCAACCGCTTCATCCAGTCCTTCTCGTGGATGAAGAAAGAGAGCTGGCGGAACTCCCGCGGCACGTCAAAGGTGGTCTCCTCGGCCCAGAAAGGACTGTCCAACAAAAACCAAAAGGGGGAGAGTGGTGATGGGGCAGGATTAGCTTTAATGGCAATGAAATTCTGCACTGACAAGCAAATGGTACCTGTAAGCTGGGTAGGGTATACATGTACCAACGCACGACACACCATGTGCATTGTGCATGTACACAGATGTAAATGTAGTTCAAATACAAAAGGATGACTGTAGGAACTATGTATGTACTCCAAATACTGCAATCTTGTATGAACAACAAACTGATTTTAGGGAACAGGCGATTCAGCGTTAATAAAAACATAAGTGTAATAACTATTACATTGCTCTTCATCTTCTTTTACCCTAGAATTTTTATTCTTTTGACTAGTCACGTGAATTCATTGTACATCGCTTCATCTATTTTTCTATCCCTTGATGCTTACTTTCATCCCATGTACATATACACTCTATTTTTGTTAGTCCAGTTGTTACTTGTACTTTATCACTGTTAATGTTATTGTATTGGAATCTTTCATCAATATGGAAATAAATGTTGCTTGACTGAAAACCAAATGCATTCTAACCAAAAACAGTGGAAGCACTGAAACAGCTTTCCAAGGGTACACGTACATGCAAGTCTTAAGCATGTTCTATTTGAGATACATTTGTCTCCAAATACGTGCAAGTATTCTCAATCTTTATTTTAAACAGGTTTTTAGGAAAACATAAATAAAACAGAAAAAACTGTTCAGCTGCCCTGATTAACCTTATTGACAAAGGTGAATATTTTTCCCCAGTGATCTAACAAAAATAAAATATCCCTTTTGCGAGTTCAATTTGAATAAAATCTGGTATGAGTTATCTGATTGCACATAAACATTAACTTTTGAATTCCACAAACTATAAAGACACTGTTACTATACCTAGCTTTTCATAGCGACCACCATCTCTGGAGTGGACTGGTTCCTATGAGCCCTTCTTATCCATTGGAAGCATTTTGGTACAAGACATCTCGATCTTACGTGACAAAGCAAAAGCTCCGAATAACTATAGGTAATACGCACTACGGTGTTTAGTATGGAGAATTCAAATCATTATGTTCACGTGAGTTTAAAGAACTCAGTGTACCAGATTTTATTCAAATTTCACTCACAAAAGACTACATGTACATGTATGCTCATGTATACGCATGCAGTACATGTAGGTTTTGTAAGTGCATTTTGTGTTTGCAGTTTCGTGAAAATCCTTCTAAATGTAGATTATTTTGAACCAGATATTGCCAGTGTGCTACCATACACGTACAACAGACATCCATCTGAAACTGGCAGCCTTTTGTCTCGTACCATGTGTGCATACTGGTTTTTCAGCAAGCTACTTAGAAATGAATTAAACTTCCATAAAATGGAATGTGGAGACTGAAATTGAAACTTGCATCATGCAGGCAATTTCTTGCAAAGCACATGCACCTTCTTTCTATGTTTTTTTCTGGGGGTAGGAGTCTTTCTTTGACATTTGAACAGTGAAATTTGTAGTTATTTAGATTTCACACTGTGCATCAGTAATGTCCAGCTGGGATACCGTTGCATGCAAGGACTGAAGTGAAAACTGCTGCTGAGGAAAAGGTTATGACCTCGGCAGGAAGTGACATATGACACTCGGATGGCAAGTAAGCAGTTGATGCAGCACTCCAAAACGGATCCCTTGCAAGTCGATGTTTCGTTGCCTCCTGGTTTTTTCCTTCATCCAACAATGTGACTCTTCACCTTTCAGTTCACAAAAGGTGGACATCCAATGCCACGCATCCACAGACTCCTCCACCCAGGATTTCCCGTATGGTGCAGAGGAAATTACCATGGTGTGTTGGTCGTTACCCCTTGTCGACTGGAAGAGTCACACTGTTTACCACTGCATGCCAAATGACATGTGAAAAGGGAGGTATTTCCTGTGTCATTAACAAGGAGGACGTTTCAACACATTCTGGCGTATTCTGCAAGCAGTGCCAGGTGATGCCTGTCCTCGCCTCTACACCTGAGTGATTTCCCCCAGAGTTTTTGCACACACACAGGGCTTGATGAACTACGTTAGTCTGTGGAGGTTGAGCGTGTGGAGCCGAGACTGGGTGATGTAGAAAATACTGCTCCACAACTTTGACTTGGAGTTTCAAAAAATAAAAAAGTGACGATGTGGTAAGAAATGTCACACAAATCTTGAACATAATAAACACTGTGGGTCAGCATTCGTAAAGTCCAACTTTGTAAAGGACTTTGCTGTGGTATCTTTTCATTTTTATAAAAAGGCAGAATTTTCAACCAAAAATAATAAACCATACCTGGGGCAATTATGGAATACAACATCATCGACAAGTAAATAAATCTGGACCGAGGTGGGGGGGCTATCAAGTGTATATAAAATGTTTTCAGTCCTCTTAAATAACCATCAGACCAGTACAATGAACAAGTCCATAAATGTACCCCTCATACATGTATGGTCCCTACAGCTGTGGAATGAATACACGTATATGTACATGCACTTTAACAGTAGGCATGGGTGGGCCTACCGGGTACACTACGATGAGGAAACAATTTATTTGGACAGGGAAATTTGGGCCAAAACTGTGGGGACTTTAGCATGTCCCAACAATGATCTGGGTCCTCATCCAACAGGTGCATAGGGTCATATTAATAAGCATCAACACACCATCAACACGCATCGACACATTGATAGTAACATCAACACACCCTCAACACTTACAAAATGCATTGAAAACAGAAAACAGACGTATCAAACTGTAATGTATACACTTAGGAATAATTTTTATTTAATCGAGTTTACATTTTACTACATTTCAAGGGAGTTTTTTCCACGCGAAAAAATTGTATTCTGAGCAGCGCCGCCTTTGGCGCCATCTTGCCTTCTCACGGCATTTGGACCATACCATGGTTAACTGTATAAAGGTGACCCCCTGTAGCGTAATGTATGGTCCGTCTGACGAGAGGCAACATGGCTACCGTCTTTTGTGGCTGTGCGGAGGGTGTGTGTTATTTTCGTGAAATAAAACGACTTTTCCCCCCAAAATGTCACCCACTGTTGTTAGCCATATTGTATTTTAGGCATTATATTGCTATCGAATTTAGAATGTGATTTGGGTGCGTTGACGGTGTGTTGACGTTACTATCATGTGTTGATGCGTGTTGACGTTATGTTGATGTAAATTAGCACGACCAGGTGCATATAGTCCCCACTACAACATGTACTGTACAGCACAAGATACAACTTGCGTAAATCACTTTTCAGGGGTGTTTGTACTCAAATGACATAGTTAAGTACAGTACATGTTCTTTCCGTGTGTTTTGAATTTTACTTTGTTCCGATGGCATGGGATTTCATGCAACACTGTAAAATCATCATTTCATTCTATTCTTTCCTCAACAGTTCGGTGAAAGCCCTGCACAAACACAGCCAGCAAAGCATTACATCAGTCACAGGCCCACACCCTGCAAGTAAACCCTGCATTGGTTGAGAAATCCTTGTACATGGCTGTGGTTTTAGTGTTCCGGTACATACATGTACATGGACATGTATGCAAATGGCCGATAAAGCATTGCCTGGTTGACCTACATGTACATGTATAACTCTTCTGCTGTCACATGAAATTTTTATCTTCTATAAAACCTACATGTAGTCCCTTTTGCCTTGTACTAGTTGAACGTTCACGATCTTCATGTTTATGTGTGCACAATAAATTCACACTACACTGACTTATCGTGTTTTGCATCACCTCACTTAACACATTTGTGTACATGTACCAATCTCCATGGGAAAGTGCTTGTGACTACTTGCTGTAGGCACACTTACTCACCATAACATGGCTAGAGGGTGTTTAAATAGTAGAATAAAATCATTGGCAATTTATGATTTTTTTCAAACTTGTCTTAACTTTCCCCCGTTCTCCACATCAGGTATTAAAGGAATATTTAAGACTGGCCAAGCATATAAATTGTTCTTTCACTGAAGTACAAAGTACATGTAACAAGCAGTGATTTAGTCATAAGATGGGCCAAAAGTCTAACAATGCAACAGCCACTGTTTTGATACACAGACATCCAATCTGGCACGCAATCATCAAGAGTCACACCTTCCAACGCAAGACAAAACAAAAGCAAACAGGACCCGACAGGTTGTATGTTGACACACACTTCTAGATCATACTTTAATAATGGATACGGTCTGCTACTTGTGTTTGCCTGCGTGCTTCCGCTGCCACTTCGGCGGCAGTATGAATTGGTCAGCTGATACCAAGAGACAGCTGATTAGCTGGAAATTTAAAACTGCACATCCGTCAGCTCAGGGAAATGCAACCGGACTGGACTACAGGCCAGGCTGGACAAAAAAATGGAAAAGGAAAACATCATACTGGCATATTGCCAGCTATGTACGCAACAGACGGCAAAACCCAGTAGTTTCTGGATTCAACAGCTTAGTAAACAATTAGTGAAAAATTAGTCCTGTAAATACTTTTTAGCAAATTTTGGTTTAATTAACATCTAGTGTTGGCACCATATGCTATATAACTATTAACAACCACTGAAATTGTATGTTTGTGTTTCAGTTAACCTCCTTTCCTATTTTTGTCTCGCTACACGTACTTTAAGATATATTTTTGAGCCTTGGTGAATTTTACATTAAAGTGAATTTCCACATTGATTACCCAAACTGGATGTCATCCACCACATGATCCTCAACATCACAATGATTTGAGTACAAACAACTGCTGGAATCGTTTTGTATTTTGCTGATGTAACTTTCCCTTTCTTTGCTGATTTATTGTTGTGAAAATACAATGTACAATGCACTTGTACTTTTCTCCTACGTACACGTACATGTATTATGAAAGAGCAAGTTTGAGGTTCAAAATTTGAACATGAAATAGTTAAAAATGAACTTCTTATATCTTCCCCAATTTGCTTTAAATCACAGCAAAAGTGCCCTCTGGAAACTTGGACACTTGTTAATTAACAAGTGTACATGTACTTTTCAGT